CTAAAGGGCAATTTGAATAAAAAAATCTTATTTAGAGTCTCAGGGAGGATTTCAGATTATTTGCTCAGCTTTTGTATTTGTTTGCTTATGGATTTTAGTTCAAATTCCCTACTCATCTGAAAGGTTAAGACCTATTTTTATCCATCACTTGGGCTGACAACCTGTTAATTATTTTGCTTTGTTTTGACCTTATTGCCTTGGGGGATGACTAATCACTGGGACTTTTCAACATGGAAGAGAGGAGACTAAGGAGTGATATGACAGAGGTCTATAAAATCATGATTGGTATAGAGAAAGTGAATAAGGAAAAGTTATTTACTTGTTCCCACAATACAAGAAATAGGGGTCACCAAATGAAATTAATAGGTAGCAGGTTTAAAACAAACAAAATTAATTTTTTCATCAAACAACACAAAGTCAACCTGTGGAACTCCTTGTCAGAGGGTGTTGTGAAGGCCAAGACTATAACAGGGTTCAAAAAAGAACTAGATAAATTCATGGAGGTTAGGTCCATCAATGGCTATTAGCCAGAACAGGTAAGAATAATGTCCCTAACCTCTGTTTGTCAGGGGCTGGGAATGGGTGATGGGGAAGGATCGCTTGATAATTGCCTTTTCTGTTTGTTCCCTCTTGGCACCTGGCATTGGCCACTATCAGAAGGCAGAATACTGGGCTAGATGGACCTTTGGTCTGACCTAGTACGGCCTTTCTTATGTTTTTAGTTTTTGTCTGCACGCATCCATTTCTAATTACGAAGTGCCTCTTGAATATTTGGCTTCATCTAACTGGAGCTTGTTTTTCCACTGACGTGTGAATCATTTTTTGACCAGCTTTAATGCTTACTAGTAATTCCAAGCATACCACTTTTCAGATACTTTGAAATATTCAGCATGCTCTAGAAACAAGCATTAAGTTATCATAGGTGTTTCTCTAAGGTAGATGGCCTTGAAAAATGAGTAGTCCTGTGGCACCTTAGAACCTAACAAATACAGCTGCTCCCCGAGTTACGGACCAACACTTGGTCCATAACTCGAAGTGTTCGTAACTTGGATCCCATAGAGTTACATGGTGACTGCGCTGTTCGTAAGCGTGGATCACCGTTCGTTGTGTGTGTGTGTGTGTGTATGTATATGTATATGTGTGTTTGTAGGCAAAAGCAACTTCTTCAGATGAGATGATCTTGAGTGGAGCTCATCTGAAGAACTGGATTTTGCCCACGAAAGCTCATGATACTATATATTTTGGTTAGTGTCTAAGGTGCCACAGGACTACTCTTTGTTTGTATGGCTACCCCTCTGAGACTTGTAAATGGCCTTGAGTTAGTGTCTAAGGTGCCACAGGACTACTCTTTGTTTGTACGGCTACCCCTCTCAGACTTGTAAATGGCCTTGGTATCTAATATCTGATTTGTTTAATTTTGCTTTTTCTCACAATGGGTGGGATTCTCAGCCCTTGTTTATTTTACAACTAGTTACTCTTCTGTACTATTTCCGGTAGGATCGTCCAATGGCAGCATTATCCTTTCTGGCCAGAGATGGTGGAACAGATCTCCTGGTACCAAAGAGGAAACCAGCCCTCAGCTGCTTTGAGTGTGTAAATGTGGTTCATGGGGTAGAAATGTTCCATAATCAAATGTGTTTTTCTGAAAGTATACATGTAAATTACTTCCTCTGGGGAATTATCTGAAGTCTGGGTGCATATGGTATACCTGCTGAATTATGTCAACCTTTAATTTCAGAGATGGCTCTCTCTGGTGCATAGTAAGATCATGATGACAACAACTGATGGATATGAAAGGTTTTAGTCAACTATTTGAATAATCAAATCAATATATATCTCTTTCGCTCTGATCTTGCAATCAAATTCATACTTCCTAGCCCTCCACATATCAAGAGATAAATCTCTTGTGCTTTTTATTTTGTTTTCTTCTTATCCCCTGGATAACTGTACTTGCCCAGAGGTGCTCAGTTGAGTTTTAACACTAATTTGGCCAAATTCTTCCCTAATATGACTACATCATTTTGGTGCATTGTACAATCATATCTCCGTGTATTTGTCTTCATCTTAAACAATAACCATTAGTTTGTATTTGTCAGTTACTGTGGCTTTGGAAAAAGGAGCTTTTGCATGCAACTAATATGCCATCTAAAGAAAATAAAGGGTATGATAGGCTGCTTTTGTTAACTCTGTAAGTGATTGTTAAGGTTATTCACCATTATCACCTCAGTCTTTCCTTTTCATCAAAAGGTCAAACTAATTAAATCAGTGCTGTCTCAGTAGTTTAGTACTAATTGGCTCCAATTTTACCAGCTAGTCAAGTGTAAAGCCTGAGTAGATTTATAGCACTTGTGTTAATGGTGGCTCTTTTTTCATCAATAATGTATTAATTGTCTTATGGACTTCTGTAGGACCCCAGGCTCCCTTAGATTTTCACCGTCAGTGCCCATGCTTATGTAACAGGGTGTTAGGAATAAATTGTGTTGGCCTTTTCCCATTCTGCACTTCTGTCCTTTTTATTCTTGCACAAGTGGAATGAATCCTAGGGCAGCAATTAGCCAAAGAACTTTGGGGCCTGATGCTGAAATGATGGAATTAGTCATTTGGTATTCACAGCACTCCATGGAGGGGGATGTGAAAACGGTTTTGTGATAATTTATTAAAAGTCACTGATTCATTACTGATTGTCAGCTGAATCTGCAGCAGCAGGGTCGACAGCAGGGTTGACATCACGGTGTTCCCAGATGACATGGTATTTCCACACAAATAGAAGTGATTTTTTTTTAAATAGTTAATTATTTAAATAATTAATTTATTTTTAAATTGTCAAAAATTACCATTGTGCCAGTTGGTGTCCTTTAAGGGAATGAATTGTTGTCATTTTTTATTATATAAAGGTCAACATTTTCACCTATCACTTATATGGGTTTCCTTCCCACCTCCTTCCAGTTAAGATGCAGCCAGGCCAGCGTTAGGTCTTGGTTTCTATTGAAAACAAAAGCAAGATTCCCATTGACTTTAGAGGGAGCAAGATTGGGCCATCAGTATCTTACCTGTTTTAAAAAAGAAAGTTAGAATATAGGGTAGTAATCCAAGAGCAGTTACCTGTGTATGTCACCAGAAAAAAGTGGCAAAGGATAGGTGTGCCTCTATTCTGGACTAATAGGGTGTGACATAATATCGACAGAACTCAGCAGTTTTGTCGACGGCAGTAAACCTCATTCTAAGAGGAATAACGCCTTTTGTCGACAGAGTTCTGTCGACAGAAGGCATTATTGCATCTACACTGTCCTTTGCATCTACACTGTCATGTCGGCAAAGCAGCTTGCTTTGTCAACAGAACTGGATGTAGTCTAGACGCTCTTTGTCGACAGTATCTGTTGACAAAACTTCTGTCGACAAAAGCCTGTAGACTAGACATACCCACAGTGTGTTGTTTGGATACTGCAGATAGTTAATTTGGGAATAGAGAGGATGAATTTGCAGAAATAGATTATAAACAGAAAAATATAAGTGATTATTTGGAGACTATGTAGTTGATCTCTTCCATCCATGTGATTTTTTTTCCTACCAGTGTAGATTGAATCTCTCTAATCCAGCACTATCTGGACCGGCAACATCTGTGATCTGGTATGATTTTGGTTAGCCGGATGTCCACTTAGCATGGGTGTGACCAAGTTTCCCGCAGTCCCATAAAGTTTGTTGACAGCCACCAGTCCTGGCTTTCAGTGTTCTGTGCTGTTATTTAGCTCTAATTTACTCCTAAATGTCTTCTCAGAGTCCACTAAGCAGTGGACATGTTTGTAAGGCTGCTAGACAATATTGACCTATGTTTTGGCAAATTCTCTGGTTTGGCACTGGTCATGTCCCAAGGGTGCTGGACTAGAGAGGTTCATCCTGTATTACTAAAGTGACATGCTCTTAAAGCAAGAACACGTGACGTGAGGTGTGTGCTGACTGCACATGGCATTGACTGTGAACTGTGCACTCCCTTTGCATCCACTCAAAGTGCTGCTACGGTTCAGTCAGCACACCCCGCAAATTCTAGGTACGCAATCCCAGTTAGCAAAACAACCTTATCTTGGGAGACCATCTTGACTCATGTTGGCCACTCACTAGCCTAGGTTGCCTGTCGCAGAGCCGATGCTGGGGTGCACCTCCTATTAAGCCAGCTTCCCCCAGCACCGTCTCCTGCTTCCCTCCTCCCCCTGCTGCTTCTGATACATACACAGTGGGGAGGGGCGATGCAAGTAGTCAACAAGATTAACTGATAAGTCTAGGCTTATCGGTTAATCATCTAGCCGACTACTCGTTGACATCCCTAGTGTGCAGTGAACTAACTTTCACGCGTCCTTCTGGAAAGGAGAAGTAAGAACACATTTTGTCCGTGTTGGGAGGTGAGGGTTAGTATCTCGTCCGCTGCATGTGGCATGGATAATTTACTTCTTTATTATTTGTGTTACTCAAGCACATGGGAGCCCAGCTGTGGACCACAACCCCATTGTGCGTAGGTGCTATACAAATGCAGAACAAAAAGCTAGCTCTTGCCCCAGAGAGCTAACTTTTCTGGAGATGTTGGATGAATCTGGGAGTGCAATGTCACTGGCCCCTCATTGTTAGTACCTATGGCCTATGTAAAATGAATTTGTGGATCTTGGTAGGATTCCCAATGAGTCCATGTCACAACTGCCAGGACAAAGTCCCTTTCATGCCATTTTCACTGGTGGGGTCAAGTAGTGAATGAGATGCAGACAATGAGCTACCTTCTAGAATTGGCCCCTCTAGGTCAGAATTGAGGACTGTAATCAGGTTAATATGAGGACACTATTATTACTGCGGCTCATGCTATGTCTGATGAATGAAAGCTAAAACTACGTTCCTTTCCAGGGACCTGTTGCCAGCATTAGATTCACTTTATTAAAGTACCGAATCTCAAGAGCTCTGCTAGTCTTCCCGGGGCAAGGGAGAGGTTGCACTTTTGACTCGCTTGTGTTTGTTCACAGGTGGACATAATATGTGGGGATCACCTGCTGGAACACTACCAGACGCTGAGGGAAATCCGCCGAGCTATCGGAGACAGTGCTGTGCAGGTAAGAGTGGTGGCTAGTTGGAGTTGTAAAATGTGTATTCTGAAAGGGTGCTGTGTTTCCAAAGAGCCAAATAGCAGCAGTGTCTGCTAGAAATGCTTTTACCCATCGATATTCTGCTCCTCCACTACTTCATCCTGACAAGGTGCATTAGCCAAGAGGGCTTTGTTGATTGTACTTGTAACTGAGCTGTGCACCACGTGTGTTGAGTGTTTGATGATTTACTGGAGTTCTGGACATGAGCTTTGTTTCGTTGTGTAAATTAGTTGGCAAAGAACCCACAACGAGTGAAACCAGACTGTTCTCTATGAACATTTCATCTCCTCCTTCCCCACCCTTGGGAATCCATATCTCTGCAAGTTATCAAAAGGCAGAAGCAGCCCAAACAAGACTAGCCTTGTGATTGCATGGAAGAGACAATTTGCATTCAGGGATGAGGACAGACTTTGCTGGGCCCCCCCAAAAGAAGGCAGAAGGGATGGGACTCAGGGCTAGCCTCCCCCAGCCAGCCTGTCCTTGCCGCCCAGGGCTCTGTTGTTGATTTAAAGGGCCCAGGGTTCCTGCTGCTTCCAAGGTAGCAGTGGTAGCTGGGAGCCGGGGGCTCTTTTAGATCACTGGGTCCCAGGGCAGCTGCTCCCTTTGCCTTCCCCTGTCGGCGGCCCTGTTCACAAAGAAAACACCACAGCAAAAGATGTAGGGTAATAAATGCCAGATACTTGTTCCGTATCGGTGTAGTGTTCTCTCAAAGCTGCTTTTGCACACTTGCGTGTGAGTGATAACTGTATGCACGCCTAATGTCAGCGTGAAATGTAACTTGTGTATGCAAAAGTGTTAATGAATATATACATCCAACATCGCAACGGAATCATTGTGCCATTAGCAGATGTATTGCTACAATCTGAGGCGAAGTGTTAGGCTTCTGCATCACTTTTCTAGAGTATGGAATATTTTATATTGGAAAGCAAATGTCAAGCAGCACTTGGGAAGAATGTGAGATTTAATTTTTTTTTATTTTTGTTGATTTATCCAGAACTTTGAATAAGCAACTTCTAGATATTGAAGTACAACATAGCACTCTTCAACTTCAGTGTATTTTGTGAACGTTAACACTAGGGATGTTAATATGTGTTTAATGAATTAACTGTGTAATCGCTGACAATGTCAGCAGTTACACAGGTACATGCAGTGTCGGGGAGGCAGCTCCCCGTGAGCCGGTACACACAGGGAGCTGGCTGAAAAGCTGGCTCTCTGTGCATACCATCTCCCGTCTGCAACAGCCCCATGCTGCTGCCTCTGATAAAAGAGGCAGCAGCATGGGGGAGCACGTGGGTCCCCAGGAGCCAGTGCAAGTGGGGAGCTAGCTTGTAAGATGGTTCCCCGCATGTACTGGGAGTCTGTGTATAAACCTGAAGGTTAATCGATGAGCCCAAGCTCATTGGTTAAGCATGCACACAGTTACACTTTCACCTCTCTAGTTAACACACATTCCAGCATGGTAGATAATTATCACCTTTGACATGAAAAAACTGAGTCAGGTGGGTAAACTAATTTGCCAAAAACCACAGACAAAGTTTGTCAGAACTAAGAACTCCAAATCTGCTTCCAGGCCCATTCTCAGATCATCCAAAATGTTCTGCCCTCTTTTCTATGTAATACTTCAGTGTCTTCCTTCTTTTTGGTAGGTTGTGTTAAAGAACAGGGTTTCTTCAAATGCTTCTCTGATGGTTATTTTGGTGGTGGTTTTGTAGAGACCAATTGGCTTGTACTGTGGTGCCTTTTATGCATCAGGACAAATTCAAGGTGCTTTTAAAATGAAAAGCAAAATGATAATTTGTACTTGAAGAAACAGATTTTTACATCCATTGGTAAGATTTCCATACTTAGGGGATAGCAATCCATTGTCTTAGCTTTTCAAGCTTTTCAAATTCAAGTTTATTTTAGGGAAA